AAAAGTGCTAAGAAAGGGTCACAGTGATGGAGCTACAGTTTTTCTGAATCCAGACTTGTTTGGATGTTTTGAAAGAGAAAATAAAATTGTCACATGGTTGCTGATTACATAGTGAGTGAATTGTTTCTAACTGTGTGTGCTTGGGGAGATAGACTGTGCAGCTGGGAAATCCCCAGCATGTGACTGGTACAGCTGTGCTTGATAGCATGATTCAGCTTTACTGTAGACCTGAGTATTTCACCGTGTTGCATCTGTACCTGTGAGTGTCTGCCTGTTGCAGCATTCAAGTAGCTGCCAAACGTTGCTGGTCTTTCAGAGTTTGCATCAGCATTTGAACGCCCAAGGTGCTTGAACTGTGCTAATCTTTCTTTTGTTGACAGAGAATGAGGAAATAGAGTCCCAAGTGCAGTGAAGAAGAAAATTTTCTGTAATAGTGAATACAGTATCCTTAAGTCATTTGTGCATTCCTGACAAAGGACAGAAAGAAACGGTTAGGAAAAGCAGAAGCTAGGACTTCTGCTTTTCTCCAAGCTATTTTTGTGCTTATCCATCCACATCTTGTTCCTGTGTTTTCTCCCCTTGTGGCATCTTGTCAGCAATTGAGCTGGTGAGTTCTTTGGGATAGAAGCTCTTTGTTACTTGCTGGTACAGTGCCAAGGTTAACAGGACTCAATTTCTTATGAGGTCTATAAGATTCTTTGTAACACAAATTTTTTATTTCAACTCATGGTTTGTTGGATGACTCATTCAGACCTAGTGTGTTGTGTGTGTCAAAGCTGTAGGCTGTTGGTTGTGCAGAGTGTCCCATATTCATCTAGGAGAAGAGAGATGCTCTGTGGCTTTGATGTGACTCCTGTTAGGGCTGTAGAGCTGCCATCCAGAGCTGCATGGTTGGAGGTTTGGTTCATTAATAATTGCAAAGCATCACTGTGATGATTTTGCCTGTTCTGTAGTCAGACTTTTTCACAATTCAGCCATTTCCTGGAAGGTTTTTAACACACTTTTGTGTTTCTTGCAGATATGAACCTATAGCCCAACCTGATAGTGAGCAGCCATGTTCATGATGTTGCAAGAAACCACCTCTCCTTGGATTTAGGAAATCAGTTATATGGTTTCTGAAATACTGTGATCCCTGACCAGAGTGAGTTACTAAGAAATAATATAAATAGAACATAATAATTCAGTTAGAAGGGACCTACAGGGACTACTGAGTCCAACTGCCTGACCATATCTGGGCTAACCAAAGGTCCCCTCTGTACTGGTGAGGCCACACTTCAAGTACTGTGTTCAGTTTTGGACTCCTCACTGCAAGAAAGACATTGAGGCCCTGGAGCATGTCCAGAGATGGGCAACAAAGCTGTGAGGGGTCTGGAGCACAAGTTTTATGGGGAGTGGTTGTGGAAGCTGGGTTTGTTTTAATCTGGAGAAGAGGAGGCTCAGGGAAGACCTTATCACACTCTACAACTGCCTGAAGGAAGGTTGTGGTGAGGCAGGAGTTGGCCTCTTCTCCCATGTAACTAGAGATGGCCCTACAGAGAATGACTTCAAGTTGCACCAGGGAAGATTCAGGTTGGACGTTTGAAAACACTTCTTCTCTGAAAGAGTGGTCAGGTACTGGAATGGGCTGCCCAGGGAGGTGGTGGAGTTGCCGAGCCAGAGGTGTTCAAGGAACTTTTAGATGTTGTATGGAGGTACATGGTTTAGTGGGAAATACTGATGTTAGGTAGAGGGTTGATATTGGAGGTCTTTTCCAATATAAATCCTTGGTGATTCTATGATTCAAAGCATATTACTTAGGACATTAAAGGTGTGATATCCTTGTAGAATCTGTTAGGGCTGTAAGCTTTCCCTTCTATGTCAATTCTGCTGATTTTAGATCTGGATTATAACAGTGCTGCTTCAGTTGACCTGATAAAGCTCTACAAAACATTGAAAACGTGTTTTCATTTTGATATGTGTTACCTTAAATTTTTTTTAGACCAATTGGGGCTAATATTGCATCAAAATGTCTAATGATTGCATCACAACGTCTAATGGGGAAGATGATGCCTGAGAGGATTTGGGTTTAATGTTATGCCTGCAGTTTGTCACACAGTGTGGTGCAAATGTCTGTGGTGGAATGCTGCAGCATGTTAACCTTACCTTCCCTAATTCTGGGTGTAAATTTTGATTGTGGACAAAATTGCATATTTGTACTGAGAGTTGCCTGTTGCTCAGTTTTATATTCTAAGTGACAGAAAGGTATTTGTACAAAGAAATGCCACTTAGAAAAAAATGTAGAGTTAGATTCTTTATAGATCATTATACTCTATCTTCATATAACATTTCCTTCTTTTTATATTTTAAATAATGATCCCTTTATTATCAGCCCTTTAGTGGGCTGATACTTCAGAATTCCAAAGTATTCTCTTCTGTGAGTCATCTCATAATGAAGAACAACATATGCCTTAATTGATCTGTTTGACAAGTCAAAGGGTAGCAAGAAATGGAACAATTGTTTGGTAGAGCACATAGTAAGGATCAGCACAACAGCAAGAAGATCACAAGCTATTATTATTCCACTGATTTGTTGCTTTCTATTTTCTATATGCTATATATTTCTCTGTACTTTTTGAGGAAGTAGTCAGATAAAAGGTCACAATGGGTTTATGAAAGTGAATCATACACCGAATCACTGTACGCAGTGTGCGTTCTATGTGTTTGGATTGTGCCTTCCTTCTTTAGTTTGCTGTCCGTTCTGCTGTGGGAACCAGACTTAGATGAACTGGGATGTAAATCAGCTTCATAGATACGGTGTTGCAATATGACTTTATGGACTCGAGTGGAAATTATATATTTCGTTTAATTTCCATAGATAAACCGTAATTCAGTGCTAACTTAGGCCATATGCCCAGAATCTCTGAGATGGGATTGAGATAAAGAGATTTGCTTGGCAAAAAGTAGAATGCAGGAAGCATGCCCATCACTTTCTTGTCACAGGATGGAGAACATGCTCCCTTTCCAGATTTCCATGTCTGTATGCAAGTGCCATAGTTTCAGAACATGATACTTCCCCAGATATTAAAATATGTAAAACGGAGTTGGGAGCAGGGCCTTTGTGACAACCCGCAAAAGCCAAAGCATCAGCTTCTCTCATGCTTTTTTGTTACTAGCACTAGGTTTGTCAAAGCTGCTACAGCTGGGGTTTGGGGAGGGCAGGCAGGGAAAAACACATCCCAGGTAAAATTCTGAAGCAAAATAAGTCACCAGAAATTGTGATTGGGATGGTGCAAGAGTCTGGTTTTGATTTGTTTTGTTTTGTTTTTCCACAGCGAAGCTGACATATTTGTGCATGCTACATTCTGCTTAGTCATTTGGCTAAGGTTTCATGTTCTCCATGGCCACCATATTGCATAACATAGAGGCATTTAACCAACCTCACATGCTTTACCACAGTGTGATAAGTCACTTGACATTATGAGGAACATGGCATAGTAATTTAGGGACCTTTTCTTTTTTCTTCCCCCAAAAAGTAGACGATTTCGTGTTTGTGGTATTATGTTAGCAGTTCAGGGAAGTGATGCTTTATTTTTCCCCCAGAGCAGATACAATACGTTCTGTTATGCTGCAGGCTTTCGTCATGCTGACATGTCAGCATTTCGATTCTCACTTGGAAATGCACCTTTTAGGGCTGAAAAAGCAACATAGGCCAACTTTGGCATTTAGTTCATTGTTACCGAACATTCTGGCTAACAGAACATTAAAGCTAGAGAATTCCCTGTAACTTCAACTAGAGCAGACAGTCTTGAGATATCAATACTGATGCCAGTGTGATCTTCATCTGCTAGAGGTGCTGCTTGGTACTTGAGACAGCCAACAACTTTCTCATAAATCATGTAGACCAAACCTTTAACACTTAGAAATGCAGCCCCAGCAAAGCTGTGATCTAGCAAGGGCACTCCACGGGCATAAACATCATACATCTGGGTAGTGCTGTTGGGAGTGAAGGAGGGAGAGACAGTCCTATTAGCAACATCGGGTATTTTACTTAAAAGAAGTTGGAAGCCAAAGCCTAGCAAGAAAAAGTACCACTAAACTTCTCTATGATGCTTAACAACAGAAAGCTAGCCAATTTCATTGATACATTTCTGGACTGAGGCATCTCTGGTTTCTTCTAATGACAAGTATAATTACAGGTCCTCTGACCTTTAGCTGCCTTAATGCTGGCATCCAGGCTTGAAAGTTGTGCATTGTGCTAAGGGAGTTTGAGTTCTCTTACTACACCTACAAGTGGAATGCCAGTCCGATGTGCTCAGTAATGAAAACAAACACTGAGTTGAACAAATGGAAGCACTGTTGGACACAGGGGCTCAGTTTAACTTTGGCATCATAACTTTGTTCTTATAATGCCATCTTGAAGGAGTTTTTCAAAATGGAAGAAATCTGTTTTCCAGCCTTTCTTCTTCGGATAATGTGAGATCAATATATATGGAACTGAATGGATTTCATACGTTTTGTAGTTTACATCTTTGGAATTATCCCACAGCATCACTGCTGAGTATTGCTTCATTCTTGCAGATCTATTCCTATATTTTCTACAGATAAAGGAATATTTTAAAACTTTATTTGAAATATGAACTGACAATAGTCATAAGAGAGAGAATGCCTCTGTAAAGTGTCTATAGTTTTCTGCCATTGAATATGCAGGCATTATGCAATGCTCAATCTTAAAATTGATTTTGTCCCTTCCTAATAGGCACAGTGTTTGTCTCTTGCTAGATGCAGATTAACAATATTTAAGGGGGAAAAAATAGAACTATCAATTCCCCTTCAATTTGTCTTTACAATTATTGGCATAAATTCTCTTCCCATGATTGAGTTAAGCTGTTTGTTTCATACATACTCAAGGGGAAGATGCAGCTGCGTTCATGTGTTTATGTGTTATTAACTGTTCAGGTGAGCTTTGCAGAAATCAGGAAGTTTTACTGATACACTTTATTTTATGTAATCTTATGTTACAGAAATTGTACTGTGAGAGAGACGTGCATATCAACAATTCTGGAAACAAAAATGCACACAAACTTCTTGGGCACTTGGAATAATGGACAATACTAAATAGTTGTGAGGACAGGGAAATGTATGCAGCTGAGTTTGGGAGCTAAAACAAGAAACACAGGGTAAGTAGGAAGTTTATCTTGGATAAGCATAGAGAAAAGCTGTGAGTGTAGGGCCGTATCCCACTTTACCAGCTGGGGGCTCTTGTAAGCCGTCTCATTTGTTTGGTTGCACAGCTGGAAAGTGTCAAGCTCTGTAAAACCAGTTGTTAGTTTTATCTTGAGAGTAAAGCTGATAAATAAATTGGAGGGAAAAGAAGAAAAACAAACAAAGTGTAAAGTCAGTTCTAGTTTCTACCTTCTCTCTGTGGGAGGTTTCTAGCCCTTCGGCTAGACTGCAAGTTGAGTGCCTGCCTTTGGCACAGCTGAGAGCCCAAAGCTGTGATGAGGAGCACAGCCTGCAAACAAGAGTGGTATCAATGGAGGAGGTTTCTGTGCTCCTAGCAGCAGAGGTGTGGGGGAAGTTTTGCACTCCTTGCCTGGCTGCCCCATTCTGTTCCCCAGCTGTGGCAGAGGCTGAGCCAAGTGTCCCTGCGCTGTGCTGCAGCTGGTGAGGCAAGGCCAGCGAGCAAAATGAGCACGGGGTAGGATAATGATCAGTTAACAGTACTCACTGAAACTGGTAGTAAAAGCTAATTATCATTTGTGAAACTGGTAGTAGTAAATCAGTTACTATGTTTAATTAAAAATCCATGCTGACGTCTTCTAACTGGAAGGATCTCCAGAACTCTAAGTTTTGTCTAGGTGCTCAGGTAAAAGTGATAAGAGCTGAACAATTGAGATGGTGCCAAAGTTTAAATGTGCACTGGCAGTGATTAAGGATTGTGTTCAGCTTCCCCCTGGGGAGTGGATTCACAAATAGTTCCTTCTCACAGTAGTGCCATCCACTAGATGGTCCTTCTTGCTTGCTTCCCACCCGTACCTGTATGTTATTTTGTCTCAGTTTGTGTGACTGCACAGTGATTTAGACTGGGAAACAAATTCAACTCGAATTTATTCATTCATCTACTTATTGGGGGGTTATTTTCCTCACTACAGCTTAGTTTGTGCCTTTACCAGCAGCTATCCTGGCATAAGTAAGGCTGTGGTGTAAGGTGGGAATAAACTGGAGGGAACAAGGTGTTAAAGCCAGTACTGTTGTTGAAAGAGATGTTTGTGAAAATACACCTTGTTTTGGTACAGAGCAGCCAGAAAGAGGGTGTAGCTGAGTTCCCTAGGAATTACTGGGTTACATGTGATCACTTTTGCTCAGAACAGAGACCTGGATCTGAGTGCCTGTGAACCTCCATTCTTCTCTGTAGTAGACTAAACAGAAATCTCATTGCCTCTGAATTCTGTTCTGTTCTGGAGTTCTGTTCTAGACTGAAGTGGATGTAAATCAATTCATGGAAAGGAGGAAAAAAAAAACCAAACAAATTCACACTGAAATGTTCAGTATGATGCTGTTGTTCCTCAGTGCAGTCATCTTGTCCTTTCCCCTACTGTGCCCTGGCATTGTTGCAAGAGGAGATGCTGCTAATGGCCCCTCATGCTGCACAGATGTAGATCCCTTCTATGTATTCACCTCAAATCTGCCGTTTCTTGTACTGTAAATCACATCACTTGTGCGCTTTGACAGCTGTGAGACATCCCATTCCCTCCTTTCCTGTTTGTCTCACAACTTTCCCAGAGCTGTAGTTCCCTCGGGTAAAGACATTCCTTGCCTTACTTTTTTGAGGTGTAACGCTGGAAGATTTTGATCGAGTGCTTTCTACTTACAGTTCTCACAGTGACATAAGCACTTCAGCGTTTCTTGTACAGAAAAATAGACATAGATGAACAGATTGACCAAGTCGCTTGATCTCCATCAGAGTTCGGAATAGTTCAATAGCTCTCCTTGCTTCAGGCCATTGCCCAAGTCACACACATTTTAGCATGGGACTATTCCTTACATAAACTTAATTTGCTTATTTTTACATGTTTATGTTATACCTCTGTCGTACATATTTTTATTAATTTGGGCTAATTTGGTCCTTAAAAATAATTAATGAGAGACAACCAAATTCTCCTATATGTCCAGCTGCATCTCTTTTTTTCACATCTGAGGTAACACTCACTCTTATCACATCTCTCATTCCAGTCCTCTTCATCCTGTGCTGCCATTGCAGAGGTTCTCAGAGTTGTTCTGATATTTGTCCACTTTCTGATATTGCAGAGCTCTCTTCACCTGGACCCTGAAGAAAACAGGTCATCTCCGCATCAGAAATTGGCAGGAACTTTTACACTGAAGTTGATGCCGTGATTCAGAAATATAAATGGAATCAGAATTGTGCCTTGGCCCCTGGAAGAGAATGTATGCTAAGTAGCAGTTTTGAATCTTAGTAGCTTCTTAACACCCAGCCCAACAGAGGAGCACAGACCCACCATGGACTCTGCTTGGCCACCGGAGCTCACCCCCAGCATTATCACTGCCGTGCCTGTATGCTGGTGCACCTATCCACGCCCCAGTAAAACAAGTGTGTGCCTTTTTTTTCTTTTCATTTTACCACAGTCCTCTTCGTACAGATTATCCTACTTCTCAGCAGCGCTGCTGCCCTGAGTCTTCTCGGCCCACTGCTGCATTTCCAGTTGGTTACATTATACTGTCCTCTAGTGGTAAAACGCTCTGCTTGCTAGCTCGTATCAGAAGCTGGCAGCTTTCTGGCACTTTTTTCTCTATGTTTCTTACGCACTAATGCTATTCCAGAAGAGCCAACTTGCCTTGAGAAGGTTGCTTAATGACAGCGAGCATTTAGGAAGAAGTTTTTAACAGACGAACTTTGAAACAAAATTGATTTTAACTGTGATAGTGGTACTTTGCTAACGTAATTTGGTTTCAGGTTTAGTTTTAAGTTTTCTTCCACTGCCTCAGCCATTCCTCTGTGCTGTTTCTGGAACTAGCACGTGGAAGAATATTTGTTGGAAAAGCACAAAACATCGTTAGATTTGAGATATTAAAAATAAATTCTTCATTCAGGGTGGTGGGGCATTGGCACGGCTGCCAAGAGAAGCTGTGGTGCCCCATCTCTGCAGGCACTCAAGGCCAGGTTGGATGGCAGCCCTGCCCACGGCTGGGGTTGGGACTGGGTGGGCTTTAAAGTCCCTTCCAATCCACATTGTTCTGTGATTCTAAGTCAAGAGATTTGAGTTATTGCTCCGTTTCAACTCTATAAAGTTTTGGTGAAACCTTCAATGTCATTTTTCCCTCTGTACGGAGAGGGGAGTGACAGTAATAGCTATTTCATCGTGGTGTTTGTGGGCCACTGATGAAATCAAGATCCCAAATGCAAAGAATTTGCAATGTAGAAAACATTACTGTATCGCCACTTGTTAGAGGATCCTGTCTCAGAGATGGTGTTTTTATATGTTTGCATTAAATCATGGTGAGTTCTTACCATATGTAAATACCACAGGATTGTAACTTTTCCCTCAGTGAATTACTGCCTATGATAACAGACTTCAAAGCAATTTGGAAGCTAAGGGGAAAAAAATACAACACTAGAAGTGATCTCAAATTTACTTTACTTTTCCTATACATATATTAGAATGTTTTGTTAATACATTTGGACCTACATTAATAAATCATTGATTAATTCGTGTTTAATTGCTGATTTAACCTTTAAATTAAAAAAGGAACAAAACCTGACCTAAAAAGTAATTATAATTTCTAGTTTCTGGTATTCATGTAAGTGTAATAATATACAGAACTAGGTGAAAATTCCATGAATTACCATGTTGATAATTAACATTTCTTCTAATAGGAAAAAATTCACATGGATTTTTATGCACTCTTCTGCAAGAACAAGCATATAAAGAAAGAAACTCCTATGAAACCAAGTGCTAACTTCAGCCAGTCACTTTTTCCTCCCAGTGAGGCAGAAATCTGAAGGATTTTTTATCTCCAGAAGTACAGCAATTAGGTAAGAATTAATGATTTTATCCTATATTAAAACTTGATTGTTTAAACTTGATCACAAATTGCAGTGGCCATCCAGACAGATTGGTAGGAGTGCAGTTGCCATTTGCCCTTCACTTACCTGACCTAAAATCTTCCTGTAGACAAAACTGCGTCTGGGCAGGCAAATTCTGAACTGCATGGTCTTTATGTAGGTGCCCTTCCACAGCTTTGTGCATTACTGAATTGTCGTCCAACTAGGCCAATTTGTGCTACAGAGCTATTCTAGCATATAACAGTATGGGTAATAAAATGAAGATCTGTTATCTCCTAATGCCTGACTGTCAGTAAGTAGCTTTCTTTTATGAATGGGAAAGAAGACTGGGATTTGTCTTTAAATGCTTTGAAGCGAGTGTTTTTGTCTCTGCTTTCTGATACTGCTGTTCTAGACTTAACAGATGGACTGGTCCTTGAGCTAGGTTGTTCTGAGTTGAGGCAGCTGGGCAGTTAATTTAACACTGCTCAAAGCTAATTTGGGAGGTGGCCCTTGTGCTAGGTGGGCTGCAGCTTGATGTGTCACAACATAGTGCTGCAAAAGTGAAGGAAATAGGAGTAATGGAAGTAACATACTAAATTGCTGTTTGCTTAGGTGGATTGCTTTGGGTGCAACACAGCTTTCTGATGTACAGGTTTTTCAGATACTGGTGGTCCACCACCATACAAGGACCTGGAATTAGCTAACAACGTTTGTTAAATGCCAAATCCCTTCCCAGGCTGGTCAAGCATGAGACTTGCTGAACACTGTACCTCAGTCAGAGCCATGGGTCTCCACCTGTATAAGTGAATTGTGAATAGTGCTCACCAACAGGCAGCAATATTTGATCACTTACAAACGTGTTACATGATGGTGAAGTTCAGCGGCCCACATTGCATAGTCAGCAGGGAGGGCATAAACTCCTCAGGTGGGTGTTCTGAATTGCCTGCAGGGGTTGCTGAGTGGGATGCCACGTGGGTACCATGTCAGATCCCTACAATTGGGGATGTGAATAGCTCTGCCTTACAGCAGTTCCAGGATGCGCCCTCTATTTAAAAAAGGTGTCAGATTAAAAGAGTAGTTATGCTGCATATCTAATAGTTCTCCAAATGTTACCTATTCTGCCTCCTTTAAAAACACAAGAATGAAAGCAGTGTTTTGATAAATTAATAAAAGAACTGATCTTTGTCCAAAGATTATTAGAGAGAGTGCACGTGATGTTCAAAACATGAGATTCTGATTTCAGTTTTTGATTTCTGTTGATTATAGATGCATTGCTTCAACAGAGTGTTTGGCTTTCCAATTACATCAAATATGGTCTAAAATTCCAAGGGAAAAATACTTGCTCTGATTTTTTTAGTCACTCTCAGGTCTAGGAATATATTGATTTAAAGCCTCAAAGTAGATTCTAATGATGCTAGCTATTAAAATCAAGTCCAATGGATATTTGATAGTTAAGAAATGTTTTATTTCATTCAAGCACAGGATGAGTGTTGAAATGAAAATTGCACCAAGGAATTTTTACTAGGTAGCAGTTAAGAAGTGCCTTGTGGACATTTCTGTACTGTTTTTGTAGTAGTAGTAGTGGCAACAGCAGCACGGTTGAAAAACCTTGCAGGGTAATGCACAGTAGAGTGAAATGTCTCCTTCTGTGTTTTTATATATTAGGAATAACTCTATTGCAGCTTGATATGTTGTTTTAGCTTGTGTGCAATGCATTTTTCTGTGTATGTATATGGTAAGAAAGGAACCTAATTTCTTCTCATATTGAGTATGTCTGTTTTTTTCCTAAGTAACAAGCAGCATACCCTACTAATCTGTGACATCACATTACGTGATTGCTCTTTACTTCACTGGCTGCATACCATTTTCTTTCCAAAAACAGGGATATTTGCTCAGAGCCATCAATTGTAACCACATCGCCTCATTCTACACTGTTGTTAGTGAAGTCAGCAATCGCCTGCATTCAGTTCTTCATTACATTTTGGAGGATTAATCCATTCCTTACTCTCTTATCAGATTTTATTGGTATACATTTTTCAAGTTTGTAGAGGTCACGCCTTTAAAAAGTTGATTATTAATATATGTCAGTTGCTTTTAGCAAATAAATTACTTGTAAATTATTATTGCTAATAATTTGTCCAAAACTTTATTTCTGCTTTTTCTCTATTTATTCATTCTGTCTTTGAGTTTTTGAGTTGCTAAGTACTCTTGTGCTGGTATGTTTCCAAAGAAGCTGTATTTTTGTATATAAAATATAGTTTGGATGGGGATTTTTTAATATAGGATAAAATAAGGATAAAAAATGCTGTAGATACCACTAATTTACAGTGGCAAATTTAGAATCTTCTTGTTATTACATGAAGATCAAACCACTTAATATCAAGACTTACCACATTGATTCTCTGGAATTCTCTGGTATCAGTAATGACTAGGAAATCAATTTACTGTACAGATAAAAGTAAGTAGTACAGAATTGGAGAAAATATTTGAATGAAAAATGGCAGATGTGAAAAGAGCCCATAGGAACGATGAGATGTTTAGAATGAGATTCTAGGTTGACAGAAATTGCTATAGCTCCATGGACTTTAAGAACAGTTTCATCAATTGAGAATCAAAATAATGAAGTTAAGCTTATGAGAGAAAGCAAGAGCTGCACATAGACCCAGCATGCACAAGAATGTCTGCAGGTGGCAGGAGGAATTCCCAGCAGAGATAGCAGCAGTTCTTCAGCCAGAAGAATAGTTTTCTTCTGATTCTCCTTCTCTCACAGATGGCATATGGTTGTCTTCTTATATAGGTAAGAGCATGGAATATGTTAGAATACTGGAGTTTGTCTCGTTAGATTAAAAATGCACTTATACAATCCAGCCACTGGATGTCTCTCTTGTTCCACTTACAAGGACGAAGTCTGGCCTCTCAGAGCCAAGCATCCCAGAGATAAATGAGCCACTGTGGAAAACCAGCTGTCACAGATGTCCAGCTGACTGCAGTGACACAATGCCAGGCCTGAACTTGCCAGCTCACAGCGTGTGAGGCTGTAACAACAAGATATAAGCAGGAACAAGAGCTGAGAAATGCATTTTTTTCTTGCATTACAACTGCACTTCTTACCAGCCCCTTCTTGACCAGCGTTCAACACAACTGCATTAAGCAGCCTGCTGCCAATAACTGAATATTATTTGAGAAAACAAGTTGAAATCAATTCTGCCTTTCTCAGTAGTTACAGTATATAAGCAAATACTTTGTTAGGCTGAAATTGTAAAGTGCACCAGAGACGTTTTCTTTTTTCCTGCCAGGTTTTTTGTTCGAGCGGGTTGAAGTTGGCAGTAACTTGAGCTAGACAAGAGCCAGATTTCCTTTTTCTGGAAAAGTCTGCAGCTTCTATTTATTTCTCTGTTCTGAAAGGGAATTACAAGAGACAGTTTCAGAGCTTCCCATGAAATTCTGTTATGGAAAAATAAACATTAGGAAAGGCTTTTTTTTTTTTTAACCTGTGTGAGTGAAAGTACGGTATCAGCTCTTTGTTTTGCTCCTCTGTGTTGCTTGAGCAAGGGAGATCTTTCTGTATGCACACTGTCTTGTTCATTTGAACATCCTGAGGTGTCAGAAATTAATGAACGTGGGAAAATGTGTAAGAAATCCTTTTGAGGTTAAGAACCTCAAGATCTCTGGCTTCTATTCGCATTGAATCAGATAGTTTCATGCAGCATCAGAGCACACAGCACATAGTGTTCCAGAGGTCTGAGGAACAGGGAAGGACAGAGTCAAGCCTTAGGTGATGATTTCAGGGCAGGTGAACCTGAGTGCTGAGAGCATAGGGTTTCAGTGGTTCACACAGGATAACACAGGAATTTGGGAATCGGGAGAACTAGGTCAGTTTTTCCATTCTTCCCTTCTTCACACTTTTTTTTTTGTTTCATCAATGTGTTTTGACATACTCTCCTCTCCTTATATTAATACTATATTTTACTTAAAGTTAAAAACAGAACAAAACCCTAGATTACAAATTCTGAATGAGAAGAGCCTGATGTCTGTAGGAATTTTGCTGGATTTTTTTCTGTACTTCTCAGTATGCATGAAGTGAGTTATGTAACTTTTTCCTCGGTGGTTGGGCCAGTGTGTGAGATCTATGGTTTATTTCTTTCAAAATATTGGTAGGAAGTGATCTGTCTTTGTGGACATTCTTTGTAATCAAAATGGGATTAAACTGCAGTCCTGTTTCCCTGAATGAAGCAGGAAAATAGACAAAAGGAAACAGCTCCTTTTGTGGTAATCCAAGCCTCTCAGTTCAGGCAGCACTGCCCTCAGAAAACTCTCTCTTTTTCTCTCTTTATATGTGCTCAGGATCGTTCTACAAAATGATCCCACTGATTTCCAGTTTTTCCTGCATTTGGTCTTCAGATACGTTTTGCTCTCTTCTATCTCAGAATAATTATAAGAACAACGGGAGTGCTTTTTAACAGCAAAAACTAAGCCTTTAACAGGGGTTATAGAAAGTGTAATTTCTTACTGTCTGATGTAGGCAAACCTGTGTTTTGCTATACTGAACATTTTAACTCCTGGATTCCAACCTTTTCCAGTTAGTAATCCCTAATCTTCATTGTGCATGTGAACACCATAATCTGAAGTGGGCATTTAGTGCAAGAACCAGACTGTATGGCTGTTACCTTTGGCTGTGAAAGCCCTGGAGAGCTGCTTAATTTTGCCTAGTCCCATGCAATTGGAAAGGAAGTTTTCATCCCACCCCCAGAAACCAAGAACGTGATTTCTTTTTAGAGCCTTCCACTAGATTTGGCAATAGCTTCAGTATTCATTATTAATTATCCTATTCTGCATTTTGCAACAATATCTGTGCTAGTGTTGCTAGAACTCCTTGCAGCATGTATCCATAAAACTTCTGCAAAAGGAGCAGTGAAGGTAAAGGGATAATGATGTTTGCAGATGACTGCAGTAGGGTATTGGAGTTCCAGTGTAGTTTTATTTAAAAG